TATAACAGTGGAAAAAAATTCCAAAGGAAAAAGCGAACTTGGGGGTGGGGCAGGGAGTAAAATGTGCAACAATGAATGAATGGAAATACAAGTTCTCTGTAAACTTTCTTTAAAATCTTAAAAAAATTAAAAAAAAAGAATATACAAACTTGGTAACAATAAAGAGGCCAAGAAAAGGAAAAAAAGTTAACCATTTAAGAGGCTTATCAACAGTAAATAATTATCTGTAATTTCCTCCCTGCTTAATTTAATTTTATCATAAGGGATTCACCAGGCAGTTTGCTGAGATAATCAACAGCTTTTAAGATGATCATCTTGGCTATAATCACACTTAAAATGAAGAGACTTTTAAAAGCAGAGCTCGGTGTATTGTGCTGGGTTCCCTTCCTCACATCATTACTATGTAAATTTCTCCCATATCATCTTTGTAAGATACCTGAATGAGAGGAAAAAAAATTAAAGGTGCTTATTTTAGCTCACATATTTTCATTCCAAGAAAACATCTTGAAATTACCTGCATCGAAATAGCAATTTGTTGCTATTAAAAACTAGATATAAACAGTTTTTGCATGAAATCCTACACCTGTAAATACTTATACTTCTTCAAACACAACTTCATGAGGAATAAGGCTGAGTGCAGGTCGCTGTGTGCATGTGCGTGTGCGTGCGTGTGTGTGCGTGTGTGTGTGTGTGTGTGTGTTCCAACAGGATTAGCACAAATTTAAATGAGATACTTAAACTGTTTTTCAGTCATAAAGGGAGCTCCGGTGGCTTAGTGGTATGGAGTTGCACTGCGACCTCAAAGGTACACAGATCGAATCTACCAGCTGCTCTTCAAGAGAAAGGTGGGCAATCTCCTCCTGTGTGAATGACAGCCTCTGAAAATTTGCTGGAGAGTCAGCTATGCGTGGGTTCTGACTCCACAGTATATAACAACGACATTTAGTCATTAGCACGTACGCCTCTGACCAAAGAACAAATGAAGTGACACTTTATAGTGAGTCAGTCTTTTTATTTTTAATAAAAAACCATAATGTATAACTTTTCCAAAACTGTACTTAACACCAAAATGAATTTGGGAATGTTACCACCTTTCCTTTTGAGTTACACTGAAATCATTCTTTTTCTCTGCTCATTTCAAAATTGGGGTGAACGTATGTTTATGTATGAGCTTGTACTTGCATATACCCAAAGGTGCACAGTTCAAATCCACCCGCTCCCCCACAGGAGAACGATGAGCAATCTCCTCCCATGAGGATTTGATTTACTGTCTCTGAAAATCCATTGAGGGTCAGGTACGAGTCGGTTCCAACTCGATGGCAGAACACGACAACAGCAACTTGTTTACGCTACACTCATACCTGGAATACCACAAAAGGTGTGTTAGAAGGCTATGCTTAAAATTGGGATGTGCTTTGTAGACCCGATTCTGACTTCTCTGGCATGCAAGGCAAAGATGTCTATGCTTTCAGTCCAAAATGTATTCTGTCCATGTGTTAACAAAAGACTAGGTAAATGGATGATTCAAATGGTGACAGTTATTTCCTCCAGTAAGAATGGATTTCTGATTAAAAGGATGTTGTTGTTGTTGTTGATTGCCATCGAGTCGAGATCGACTCATAGACTCTAAGAACAAAAGCCCTAATGCCTTTCTATAGCTATCGTTGTTTCTCCAAGTTCATAGAGTTTCCAGAGGCATGTGGTTTAGGAAGTCAATGCCACTCCAGCTTCCCAACCTGTTTTACACCTGGGAGCTCCACCTAACACTGTCCACAATGGGAAATCATTCTGGTATTTGATACCCCAATGGCACAAGATTCAGCATCACAGCAAACCCAGGTTACCTCATACAGCACTTTGACAAAGAGTGATGTGCAAAGTGGAAGAGTGTTCCTCTAAGATACAATATAGATGAAATCACCACTGAGATGTATATGACCAAAAATAAATAAATAAATAAATAAATAAATTGCAGGCGCTCTGGTGGCCTGGTGGCAAGAAGCTGCACTGCAATCCTAGAGGTACATGGTTCAACTCCACCAGATGCTCTGCTGGAGAAGGAGGGACAATCTCCTCCTGTACCAGTCAGATCCCATTTGATGGCACACACACACACACACACACACACACAAAATAATAATAATAATAATTTAAAAAATTTACAAGAAATAAAATTTTAAAAAAATTGCACTGTCTAAAATTACACCATGTTTCATGGAGCATTTGCTTATCGTGCTCCGTAGTGAAAGCTAAACATGGTTCAACTTTGTAAAAAGGTCACTCTGTGAAGACCTAAAAACAATGTGAGTAAACTATACAGACCCAGAGCAATTTGAGGGAGCTCTGAGGGCTTGTAGTAAGACGTTGTACTGCCAACTCAAAGGCATATGGTTCAAATCCACCAGCTGCACCGACGGAGGATGGGTGATCTCTTCCCATAAAATCTACTGCTTCTGAAAAAGCTGCTGCAGAGTCAGCCATGAATCAGTTGACTTTATCCAACGATAATATTTACAATAGCTTAAAAAGGAAAGGATTTTGCTCTCTCAAAACTTAAACCACATTCTACTCCCCCTGGGAGGCACAGTCAAAGAACAATTCTACTTTATCCAAAGATAATATTTACAGTAGCTTAAACAGTCAACGATTTTGCTCTCTCAAAACTTAAACCACATTCTACTCCCAGTAGGAGGCATAGTCGAAACTTAGGTTAGGTGTGTTGAAGGTATAGTGTGTGCACGTTCGCATGTAGATACAGATCTGCCTTTCTCAAGGGATCCCATTCTCTCTCTCTCTCTCTCTCTCTCTCTCTGTGTGTGTGTGTGTGTCCCCTCTGGTTCCAGGACACTGTGGTTAAATAGTCTGCACTTCACCAGACCAAGCCCTCCACCACAGAGCCACTTCCTCCTCTCAGCCACCCTTCATCAGCTATTCAGACTATAAATCCTTCTGGGAGGAGACTGATCAGCTTTCTCCCAGGGAGGAGCTAGAGGATTCCAACCACTGACCTTTACGTTAGTAATCTGATATGTGATGCACAATGCCACTTGAGCCCCTTTTGATCAACAAGAGTTCTCCTCAGACTTGAGAATTAGAATCATCTGGTTGTTGTGGTTGTTGTTGTTGTTGTTATGTACTGTCAAGTCAGAACCAACTCAGGGTTGACCCTCCAGCAGGTAAATCCAGAGGCTGTAAATCACATAGAAGGGGACTGCCTCTCTTTCTCCCTTGACGCAGCTGGTGGATTCACACTTCCTGTCTTTGGGTTGGCAGCGCAACTCCTTACCTCAAAGCCAGACGTACCTAGTCGTTATTCTTACTAGGCACCATCGAGTACAACTCATAGTGACCTTACAAAGAGCAGATACAAGCCCTGTCGTATCCTGTCATTCTCACACTTCCGGACACACTAGAGCCCACTGCTCCAGTCACTGTATCAACCCATCTGGTTGAGAGTCTTCCTCTCTTTCTCCATGCCTCCACCTTTCCGAGTATGACGTCACTCTCCAAGAAAGAGCCTCTCTCTGCAACACGCCTGAAGTACATGAAATGAAGCGTCATCTTTGCCTCCAAGGAGCATCTGGCTGCAGTTGCTCCAAGTCTCCTTTGCTGGGCCTCGCCTCCACGTACCTCAATCAGTAGGTCAAGGGGCACAGTGTGAAAGCAGCTGTTGTGTTAAAGGCTGAGGTTTGGACCCCATCAGCAGCAGAGGAGCAGAAGGGGGTCATCGTGCCTTTCTTGTTCTTGCTATACTATCTTCAAGAACAATTTCACATTTTGACCCCATTTCAAACAGTTTGCTGCAGATTAGCAAACAAGCACAAGTAACCCCAGGCTTCCCGGGCTCACTGGGCACTCCGTTCCTGCCAGACACTGGAAACTTGAAAAGATGCTTTGAATCTCTAGGAAGGTGCTAGAGGGTTGGGAGAGGGACAGATATCAGCCATTCCTAGAAAAGAACCTTTGAAGTGGTGGGAAAATGGAAAAATGTTCCCTCCAGGTCAGTAAGCAAGCAAGAACAGACAAATCTCCTGGTCGTGTGTGTTGTCCAGCAAGCGTCCATCTATTCCGCAGAAGAAAAGAACTGCTTCTGTAAAGACTACAACCCAGAACAGCAGCAGACACAACCCTACAAAGTCCTCCGTAACACACCGGGTCAACATGCATCAGAACCGACTCAGTGGAAGCAGCTTGCACTGGGCGTAGGTGGACCTCAGAATCTGCATTTCTAGCAAGATCTCAGATGACGATGGTGGTACAGGAAGCCCGCTTAGAGAACCACTGGTCGACCCTGTTGTTTTTGTTGCTATTGTTGCTGTGAGGTGCCACTGAGTCAAGTACAACTCATAGCATCCTTACGACCAACAGATCTGAACCCTGTCCCATCCTCATCATTTCTGATACCTTGAGCCCGTTGCTACCAATACTGTGTCAATCCATCTCGTTGAGGGTCTTTCTCTCTTGCTGACCCCCCACCTTTCCAAGCATGACATCCCTTTCCAAAGAATAGCGTCTCCTAGAGACATGTCCAAAATATGAGAGATGAAGCTTCACCACACTTAACTCCACGCAGCACTCTGGTTGCACCTTTTCCAAAACATACCTGTTTGTTCTTTGGGCTGCTCATGATATATTCAGTACTCTTCTCCAATTCAAAGGCACCAATTCTTCTTCCGTCATCCTTGTTTATTTATCATTCAGCTGTCAGATGCATAGCAAGTGATTGAAAAGGCCATGGCCTGAATCAGGCACACCTTGATCTTCAGACTGGCACCATTGCTTCTCAGTCATTTCAAGAGATTCCTGACAGCAGACTTGCCTAAAGCAATGTTTCCTGGCCTCCGACTATTGATACCAAGGATGTTGGTTGTGGATCCAAATAAGAGGAAATCATTGACAGCTTCAGTCCTTTCTCCATCTGTCCTGATGTTGCCTATTGGCCCAGTGGTGAGGACCTTTGTTTTCTTGAGGTTGAGATCTAATCCATTTGAAGATGATAGCTTTTGATCTTCTGTTAGAGGCCAGCAAATTTTGGTTAGTCAACTTCCATAGAGACCCAAATAGCAAATATTTTAGTGTTGCAAGTCACGCAGTCTCTTTGAAATGGCTCAACTCTGTCTTTCGAGCATATCACGAGCTTCAGTGAGAGGTCAAATGAATAGGCACAGCTGTGTTACGATAAACCTTGAAATAATGTTGTCGTTGTGGTTGTTGTTGTTGTTGTTGTTAAGTGCCATTGAGTCAGAGGCGACTCATAGTGACCCCATGAACGAAAGTCCTCAACACTTGTGTGACTTTCATCCTTTCTCCAGTTTCATAGGGTTTCCGGAGGCAAGCTATTTATGGAAGTGGATGCCACTCCTGCTTCCAAGCTTGTTTTAATCGGGGAGCTCCACCAAACACTGTCCACCATGGGTCACCATTAACGCATTTGACACACCAGTGTCACAGTATTCAGCTTCACAGCACCCACAAGTTACCTCTGTATGGCAAGTATAGTGGACCAGATTTTCAGAGCTTTGCTCAAGATTATCCTGCTGGGACTCACCCCATCCAACGACTACACCAAGAGATCTCTCCTCTGCTACTGACCTTGTCATAGTGCCTGAAAGCTTCCAGCAGAGTGTCAAAGTTCTGGTAGTTGACTTTCTTCAAGTGGTGTCGAACTGCTGCGACCAGGGCTCTCTGCCTGTCCTTGCCTCGAAGACACTCTCCTGGAAGTCTGTTATGGATGAGATCACCCACTCCTATCAGAGAACAGAAGGGAAAGGTATCTGGTTTGCAGATGCAGTGAATCACACAGAAGGAGACTGTCCATCTTTGTACCACAGAGAAGCTGGTGGACTCGAACAATGTGCCTTTGAGTTGGAGGCTCAGCTCCTTACTATTAAGGCACCAGAGCTCCCCACTTGAAAGTCTTTGCCGTGGAGTTGGTGTGCAAACTCACAGCTCCTCTCTGGCAACTTCCTGAGGCTGTGAACACCACTGGTGGATTTGAGCCACTGGAAAGTGGGCCTGTGGGATAACAGCACAACTGCCTACCAGCTAAATGACCAGGGCTCCTTTGACTTCCTGCAGACATTTCTAAAGTGAGCAAGACACGAGGAGGACTATGGGAATTCAAAGAAAGACTGCTAGAAATGATTTTTTACAGCTTCCTTTCCTACTCCAGGTCCCTCCCCAGATGCATGCCCTTTGAGGGCGCAGGGTTATTCTGTTATGAAGATTCTTAGTCCATGAAAAGACTTTAAGTTAAGTTGGATTTTTTTTTCTATTTAGAGGCCTGCCCTCTATATTCACATTCAAAGGTAACCAACTGAATGACTGTTTTTTCATCTTCACTTTCGTGTTCATACAATATTCCACCTGTTAGCTTCCTCACGGGGAAGACTCTATGACATGCCTTCTTCAGGCCTGGCTTTGACTGATATTTTTGAAGGTGGTATTGGTATCCTATCACATGTGTCCGAGAGCTCTCTCTCTCTAAAGAAGTGGGATCAGGAGTAATATCTCAGGTCCTAGGACAGAGACCTCCAACCTAGTGAAATTAACACACCATGTTAATCAAGACAATGAAACTCAGATCAGACTATCTGGGCATGGGTCACAGAAGCCTGCACATTTAGTAAACCTTCCTGATTGCTTTTAACACCGGTAGCCTATAAGCCCTATTTTGATAGACAATGTCAGCCGTGTTTGTGCCCTTTGGGTGTCCTCTGATTAGAATGCTTACAAACCTAGACAAAATCTAAATAGGTTTCTCCTAATCCCCCCAGATGGACTGGCTGGCTGATGGCAGTTGGCTAGTTGGTAGTCAGTTGATAGGGAGAAATGGTTCTTAATTATGTGGTTGGCCAGCATTTTTTTTTTAAACTTTCCTGTGCAAAATTCAACCTCATCTTGTTAAACAGCAGATTCTGACTCAGTAGGCCTAAGGGGAACCCTGAAATTCTCTATTTCTAACAAGCTCTCAGGGAGCACTGGTGGCTTAGTGGTAAGGGATTATCCTGCCAACCCAAAAGAACATGGTTTGAATCCATCAGCTGCTCCACAGGAGATGAATGTACACTCTCCTCCTGTGGGATTTACTACCTTTGAAAAACCACTGGAGGGTCAGCTATGAGTTGGTTCCAACTCAGTAATACACAACAACAACAAACCCTCAGGGGATACCACTGTGGTCAATGCACAGAGCACACAGAGATTCAAGAGCTGAGTATAATTTGAATTCATTAGAAAACTCCCTTACTTGACTTTGACTTAATAGACAATTTTTTAAGTAAAATTCCAAGCCTTAAATGAATGCCTTAAACTGTTTGCACTACTCCACACCCCCGCCCCCATAATATTAATTCAAAGGAGCTCTGGAGGCCTCATGGTAAGAAGCTGAACTACAATCCTGAAGTACCGCTGTTCAAATCCACCAGCTGGTCCATGGAAGAAGGATGCACAATCTCGTCCAATGCAATTTACTCCCCTGAAAATATGCTGGCGGGTTTGCTGAGGGATAAGTTCCAACTCGATGGCACACAGCAATGTTAATTCAACATTTCAAGTCTTTAATATTAGAAACTTCAAAAGACTAAATTGATGAGCTTATTTACTTTCCCACCCACCCACCCCCATTTTATTAAGTAAAAAACTTGTATATTTACCATACTCCTCAGGACGAAGACAGGCACCAAATGTGTGGTCTGGGGGAACATTCATTGTTTCTGCAATGCTATCAAAGAAAACAAACCTTTTCGTTAAAATATCCACCACATGGCTTTGCTGGAATCTGAAAAACTCTCGCCATATGTTCTTAGAAGCCTATGTTTTCTTGTCTAACCTAGCTAGCTACAGAAATCAAACCAAAGTTCTCCAGCAGACACCGTCTGAGGTCCCACTTGTATTAACAATGGTGGAATGCTCAGGTTTTAAAAGGAAGGGAAAAAAAGTCAAAACACATTCTGAGCAGAACTACTGAGGGACGGCAGAGAGATAAATATAAAGCTATATGAATTAATAGAGAGACACGTGCTACGGAAAGAGCGAAAGAGAAGCACAGTGAGGTAAATGTCTGAAATTGCGGAGAAAAAGCTTTGTAAAAACAACCGTCCCCTTCTCCAGCTGCCCTCTTCATCCTGAAGAACTCATCATTTTCCCAGGAACCCAAATTCTATCTACAGACAGAGGCTGATGAATGGGGTGGGGGGTGGGGGAGGTTAATTTAATACACAGAATCTTATCAAAGAACACAAGCCAATATTTATCACAAGAGTATTTTTTTAAGTCAATGCAAAGGCTACCAAGATTTTATTATCAACTTACGGGTCTAAAACTCTCCCAAGTTTATGTTGAAACTTTTCTTTGAAATCATCCTCTCTCTTGGATACAAATTTATCTCCTCTTTTCCTGTAAAATCAGAAAGTTGTCCTTTACTTCTATTTCCTAAGTTATTCCTTGGTTGCCACATATTCACCTGATGAAAAGTACCACAGTCCCATTGGAGTCTTCAGAGAACACACCCAATGTCAAAAGAAAGTGTACGCAGAAAAGGAAACCATATGTCTTCATGTCTTTATCATTTATATTTTGTTTAAAATAACTTTCTTTCCAGTTATAAAGAAGTAGACTTTTAAAATATATGCAGTAAATAAGGCGGAAAGTGTTCATAATATTACTCTAAGACTTAAATCACTAAAGGAAAATTGAGCACCAAATAGACAAGCAGGGGTTATATTCCGATATCTCATACATAGTAAGCAAATAAATGAAGAAATTATAATACTATCTCACAATAAAAGAAATGTAACAATAGTTATAAATGAAACATATAACAATTCTTGAATGAAAAGACCCACCTAAAACGCACATGAATCGTCAAATGCAATACTAATATGCTCTGTAAACTTTCACCCAATTCACAATAAAAAAATTTCAAAAAGATCCTGTAAAGTGCCATTCTTAGGGAGCTCTGGTAACCTAGTGGCAAGAAGCTACACTGCAATCCCAAAGAAGCATGGTTCGAATCCACCAGGTGCTCTGCTGGAGAAGGAGGGGCAATCTCCTCCTGTGCCATTCGGATCTGATTCAACAGTACATAACAAGAAATATAAATAAAATTTTTTTAAATTAAAAATAAAGTACCATTCTTAACCTAGCAAATTAGCAAATGCAGATAGATAAACAAATTTGGATAAATAGAGATGTGGCTAGGTAAGCACGAATGTACATATGTATTCTTTTGTCTATACACTTATGTAGATAGAGATTCTTGTCTCATAGTAACCCTACGAACAACAGATGTGACCTTGTCCTATCTCATGCCATCCTCATCATCTCTAACATACTTGAGTCCATTGCTGCAATTACTGCGTCAATCCATCGCACTGAGAGTCTTTCTTCTCTTTCGCCAACCTTCCACCTTTGCAAGAGCATGAGACCCTCTCCAAAGAATAGCCTCTAGAATTCTAGCAACACACCCCTTAAGCATCTTCATCCTTGCCTCCAGGAAGCATGCTAGCTGTACTTGCTCCAAGACGTAGCTGTTTGTTCTTTGGGCAGTTCATGGGATATCCAGTACTCTTCTCCAACATCACAATTCTTTATTTCCTGATGTTGGTACCAAAGATGTTGGCTGGGGTAAGATTAAATCATTGACAGTTTCAATCCTTTCTCCATCTATCATGATGTTCTGTAATTGGCTCAGTGGTGAGGGCCTTTGTGGTTTTTGTTGTTGTTGTTGAAAATACTAAAGAATTTTAATAACTATGCAAGATCAAACATGTAAAAGGAAAATTAGAAACAATTCACTTTACATGCATGACATAATATATGACAGCACTCAGAAACAGATATATTAATATACATAGCAGTATATACAATGGTATTAACATACATGAAAATGACATCTATGACATCACTCAATAATTAATGTTAATGACAGTATCATTTAAAAAATCCAAACACCAAAATACACTAAATAAAGTAAGCATGTTATCGTTGTTGTTGTGGTGGTGGTGGTGGGTAGGTGCAGTCTAGTCGAATGTGACTGACTCATAGAGATCCTATGAACGACAGATCTGAACCCTCTTATCTCACTGTGCCACCCTCATCATCTCTTACACACTTAAGCCCATTGCTACAGTCATACTGTGTCAATCCATCTTGTTGAGGGTACCTTTGTTTTTTTGATGTTGAGATGCAATCCATATTGAAGGTTGTAGTCTTCAATGATCTGTAGCAAATGCTTCAAATTCTTCTCACTGTCAGCAAGCAAGGTTGTGTCATCTGCATAACGTAAGTTGTTGATGAGTCTTTTTCTCCAGTCCTGACGCTACAATCTTCATCACTGAGTCTGGCTTCATGAATTATTTTCTCGAGTAGGTATGGAGAGAGGATACAACCCTGACACTTTTACTATGTTGTGCTTTCTTTTTCCATTCACACAACACCCTCTTGGTCTAGGTATAGATTTTACATGAACACAATTAAGTGTTCTAGGGTCCCCATTCTTCTCAATGGTAGCCATAGTTTGTTGTGATGTGCACAGTCAAATGTCTATAAACACAGATAGATGTTGAGAAGCCAAAACAAAGGAAAGAGATGCTGAAGTAAGAGAACTCAACTGGAGACTTCAAAGAGCAGCTCAAGAAGATAAAGCAAAGTAATATAACAAAATGTGCACAGAGCTGGTGTCAGAAAATCAAAAGCAAAGAACTTGCTTGACATTTCCCAAGCTGAAAAAACTGAAATTCAAATTCAAGCCTCAAGCCGCAATATACTAAGAAATGTCATAGGCAAATTCTTGAATGATCCAAGAAGCATTAAAAGATTATTATACTAAAGTCAATAAAAATATTTTTAAAATAAAAAAGAAGATTGAGAGAAAAGTAAAATAAAAAAATAAGTTTAAAGAAAGAAGAAGGAGGAGAGCTCTGGTGGCCTAGTGGCAAGAAACTGCACTGCAATACCAGAGGTACACAGTTCGAATCCATGAGATACTCTGCTGGAGAAGGAGGGACAATCTCCTCCTGTATCCGTCAGATCTGATTTGGCAGTACACACACACAAAAAATTAATTAAAAAAAAAAGATGAAGAGAATACACAGAATCAATATACCAAAAAGAATTGGTCACTGAAAAATTTCAGGAAGTACTATATAAACAAGAGTCAATGATAACAAAGGAAGGAGTTCAAGCTTTTCTGAAGACACTGGAAAAAAAATAAGGCCCCAGGAATGGATGGGATACCAATTGGCATGTTTCATTTAATAGATGCAACCCTGGACGTGCTCACCATTCTATGCCAGGAAGTTTGAAGGACTGCTTCCTGGTCTGTCTGAACAGATGATCTGAAGAGATGCATATTTCTTCCCATTCCCAAGAAACGTACTACAAAGTAGAAATTACTAAACAACATCATTATTATCCCATGCAAACAAAATATTGCTGAAGATCATCCAAAAACAGCTGGAACAGGACATGTACATTGACAGAGAACTGCCAAAAGTTCAAGCTGGGTTTAGAAGAGACCGTAGCCACAGGAATATCACTGCTTATGTCTCCTGATGGCTCCTGGTTGAATGCAGAGAATATACACATAAATAGGATTCTCAAAATTGGTGAGATGTATGATAAGCACTTACAAGTTTCTAGTGCACAGTGTTACAAACTTTTTGAAAATAATTTTACAATATGAATCATAACAGCATAAAAAATGTTCAGGCTTCTGAATCTACCTCTGGAAGCCAATGATAAGGAAATAATCTACATTCAAACTGTGGAAAAGTTTATACAACAAAAGTGCTTGTGGCCTCACTGATTTAAAGAGGAGAGGAAATCTAAATACCCAATCAGGAAGGTAATTATGTCACATATATTCGGCATGAATATTAAATGATAGTTGTGGAAGATCCATTGGCGTTGTTGTCAAGTGCCATCGAGTCTGAACCCTGCCCTCTACTGTGCCATCGTGATGTATTGTGACTGTTGATGTGATGTTTTTT